CCCACCCCCCCCCCCCCCCCGACGCCATACAATATCCTATATAAACACGCCCATACTAAATCCTATATATAAAGGGGACACATTTCATGCACGGGGGTAGTGGCACCCCACGTAGCCCCGGTGGGCGAGCTGAGCTTGCGTGCACCGCAGCAACGGTACCGTTAGTAGAAGAGGAGAGAGAGAGAGCCTGGGAGGAGTGGTCACAATGAGCATAGTCTCCTTTGGGAGGGGATACCTGTCAACGACTCCCTTCGACAAGACGGCTTGGCTAATCCGCGTTTGCCGAGAGCGAGCAGATGGCTCGGAGTTTGTTTGCCGCTGTGGATACAACTTCGGCGACGGTTCAGGAGTGGACGAGCGCACCGCCGGGCAGCATGAGACTTCGCAACAGCACGAAGAGTGAGTGTAGAGGACTATTCTGTGACATTTCCTTGCTTTCATTTTGCAATAACCTGCCTCGCAGCAGCAGCAATAGCAGCAACACACACAAGCTTGAGCGCAAGATGAAGTGTGCGGCGAAATGCGGAGCAATCTGTCGCCATGCTGTGCATACCAAACGTCGTCCTACTGCTGCCCGTGTAGCTGGCAGCGACAGCTGCGGGGGTTGTGTTGTGCTGCTTCCCGTGCGGCTGGAAGCGGCAGAAGCGGGAGTCTCAACAGCAGCAGCAGCAGCCGCAGCGGTAGCAGCAGCAGCATGACGAAGTTTGAGAAAAAAAAGCGCGAAATGCAGACCGGCACCACCCAGTTGGCACCATGTGTGCCGCGGGGGCATTCGTGCCTCTGAAGAGCTGGCCACTCAACCCGTGCTGCCCAACTTGTGTCTCCTGCCCATGCCTGCCACTTCCGCACGCCCATCGCATGCGAACAGATCGCGTTTGCCTGTTGCACAAATCGCTGCGAAGAACAGCAGCGGCAACTGGGTTTGCAGCACGTGCCAGCACTACGTCGGCACCGGTGAAGGGCTGAGCCAGTGTCAAGTAAAGCAGCACGAGGCGTCGACCGCACACAAGTGAGGGCGATGGCGGTGTCCACATTCACATTGTTCGATCTGTTTACTTGTGCTTACCTCTGTTTCAACTCGTCCGAGACTTGCCAAGATCTCGCTGAATGTCGCGCAAAGTATCAAAGGGTGCATGCAACTCTGTTGATGTGTTTGTCGATGTGCGTGAAAACGTCGCCGACGTATGTATGTAGAACAAATAGACAATACTTGCTTCGGTCTCTCAGCGGCGGGTGAATCAACATTTACTCACATGCGCAGGAATGCTGCTCAAGCTAAGAGGCAAAAAAATACACTGCTGAGTTTTTGGAAACCGACGAGCACCGCCAAGTGACGGTGGCGGGGACTCCGACAACGCTGTACTCCGAGAGGCGCTGGACACGGAGGGAGAAGAGCCAAGCTCATCTACCCACAGCTCATATGTGCAAGTCGGCGAGAAGAAGGTGCGAGGTGCTTTTCTTTCCCAGGCCAGGCAAGGTACCAAATATTCGTCTAGTGACACCATGTGAACGCACCACCAACCATCTTGCACATAACTATTTTGGGCGTGACAAGCAATGGACTAAGACTAGTCGTGTCTACGGTTGAAGTTAGTAACGTTTGTTTGCGACCCGTTCTTGAACGTCAATCACGCACCGTTGCGGTACACGCAGATGCAAGCAAACCTAATCCCGAGCTCTGTTTTGCGCGTGTCCTGCTGTTTGTCGGCCATGGCACGTATCTTTCGGTGTAACTTTG